CAGAAGCAGTTCCAAGGACAGGGACTCTTGAAGGAATAGATAGTCACTGTTGTGAGGATGGGGGAGAAGGCAGAGACCTCAGGCCATGTAATCAGCAGCAAGGTGATGTGTGATAGGTCTTTTCACAGTTGAGTTAGGTATGTCCCACCAGGTGTGGTGGGAATCAGTTTGAGCATACTTTCTTGACCCCAGAAGTTCAACTACATTGACAGTGGCTACACTTGACAGGATGATTTGTTACAGCACAACTTACATTTCAAATAGGAAAAATTAGAATCATTTACAGTGTCTTAAAATAAATTGCCTTTGAAGGGGAACCAAAAAGCAGGGTATGTAGGAATGAGTCCACCAGAGGTCATGAAGGCAAAGGCCCTCCTAGTTGGATCCACCTTTGAGTAAAACCTGTCTTATGAGCCCTAGCAGTAACCCTAAGAGTCTGGTGTCAACTTTGCCTACTCATGTAAACCTGTGGAAGATCTTAAATATCTATTCAGAAGGAAAAATATCCTAAGAGACTGACCCACAATCAGATAAGAGATGTGGTAGACAATTCTAGGCCTAGTAATTTTCCTGGTGATACTGACTATTGTGCTGTCATTATGCTATTTTGCTCAACCTCCCCCTCTTAGTAAAGATTTGTTCTGTCTATGCTGGGTCTAGAAATCCTTGTTATGATAAAAATGAACATCTGTTCTCAAATTTTCTGTATCCCAAATCACACCCATAGGTGCCCTGTTAAAAACACCACTAGTAAGAGAATTCTAGGTACCAAAAATGTATGTAGTCAGTGGGAAGGATATGACCTACCTTAGATATCTGGAAAGTAAATTTTGACATTCCCAAAGCTGCATTTAACAACACTTCATGGAGTAAGAGCAATAGGGGCATGGTTCCCTGATCAAGAGGGTTGCTTTCACTGAACTGTAATACCTGTAATTCCCCTGACTGAATATCACAAATAATTTAAAACAACTACTTACAAAAGGGCATGTGCTCCATCAGGATGTCTTCTTGTGCACAAACCCCTCAAATTAGCCAGCAGTGAATTGGCCCCTGAGTTTCGTATACTGAAGCAAAAGGTGTCCCTTACCACTTAAAGCCAGGGCCTACCCATGTGTAGACAACATAGTACTTGTAGGACGGTTGTACATTAGGAAACTTGGCTCCTAATGATATGCTCATTTATAATAGGAGTTCACACAGACAAAAATTGAGCCATAGGCCTGTTATTAGTCTGTTTGTGTTGCTTATTAAAAAATATCTGGAACTGGGTACTTTGTAAACAAATGAGATTTATTGCTTACAGTTTCAGAAGGCAGGAAGTCCAAAGTCCAGGGAACACATCTGCTGAGACCCTTAGTGGTGACTTCAGTGATAGCAGGGCCATCGCATTGTGAAAATTGTGGCGCAGAGAGAGCGAGAGAGAGAGAGACTCTCCTCTCTCTTCTTTTAAAGCCCTCTGACCACCATTTTTAATCCATTCACTACCACACGGTCCTAAATCTAATCCCCTCTTCAAGGTTCTGCCTTTCAGTTACCATAATAGGATTTCCCACCCTCTTAACAGTCACAGTGCAGGCTGAGTTTCTAATACATAAAACTTGGGGGACACAATTCAAGCTTCAATGAGTTTTGGGAGGACATAATTCAACCCACTGTATTCCACCCCAGCCCCCCCAAAACTCACATCTTTTTCCCATACTGTGGAATATACTATAAAGCAAATGTACTTCACAGGGCTTGGTTTTCCAGAGCCTTGCAGTTTCAAATATTGACCTTGTGGAGGACTGGAAATTTTCCTCAGGCTATAAAGTCTCTGGTGTAAGATAAAGAATTCTAATACAGCAAGGTTGCTGGCTCAAGGACAGACTAGTTACTGATTGTTGTGTAAAGATACTGAAAAATTGCTGTAAGAAGGTAATGTTTGCTAGATCAAGCTTTTGTTGGTGGATCACTTAGTTGTCTAATGGAATGTCATCTGACTTGTTTCACTGAAAGTTACCAGCCTATATTGTTAAACTATGACCCCACCTATGTTCTCTTCCTGTAACTCCCTGGTCTGGAAAATAAATGCAGGAAGAGAACCCCAATTTGGGGTTAATTTCCCAAGGAAGAGATGCCTCTCACTTGAGGTCTCTCACTGCTCAGAGAGGAGAGAGATGGGCTTTGAGTAATCCTTTGCAGGCTTGTCACCCAAGGGAAGTGGGGTGGCAAATCCGTGGGGGGCAAAGCAACAACATACAAATATGTTCTTTTCATCCCCAAAGTCTTAACCTGTTTCATCTCAAAAGTCGAGAGTTCAAAATCCCATCTGTGAAATCAGTGCAAGTTATCTACTTCTAATATACAATGGTGGAACAAACACAGAGTACATATTTCCATGCCAAAAGGGAGAAATAGACCAAAAGAAAGGGGTAACAGGTCCCAAACAAGTCCGAAACCCAGCAGGGCAGGCATTAAATCTCAAAGCTGGTGAATCATGTACCTTGACTCCACATGTCCCAATATTAGTAGAAATTGGAGCAGTTATCATATTAGCTGCTCCTTGGGGAGGATCTGCATATCATGAAGCCCTTTACAGAACTTAATACTGTGGCCGAATTAGCCCAGAGAACCGGGGGTGCCATAAAGAGGTTACAAGCATCTCTGGATGCTTTAGCTGGGTTAGTCCTAGACAACTATCTGGCCCTAGATTATCTTCTAGCTGAGCAAAGGAGAATATGTGCTATTATAAATAAAATTTGTTACACATTCACGAACACTTCAAGATAAGTAGGAGATAATGTAAAAAGAATATGAGCAAGCCATCTGGTTACACAAGTTTTATAATCCTATCTCAAAGCATTTGGTAATCTGTAAGGAATTACATACCCTCAGCCACTTGGTTTTTACCCTTGTTGGGACAATTAGCAGCTGTTCTATTGCTTTTGATTTTGGGTGCCTGTATTTTTTTTTTTTTTTAAATGACCGGTAAGGGAATCTTAACCCTTGACTTGGTGTTGTCAGCACCATGCTCCCCCAAGTGAGCTAACCGGCCATCCCTATATGGGATCTGAGCCTGTGGCCTTGGTGTTATCAGCACCACACTCTCCCAAGTGAGCCAAAGGCCGACCCGGGTCCCTGTATCTTTAAACTTCTTGTTAAATTTGTCTCTTCTAGACTTCAACAGTTTCACATAAAGATGATGGCTCTACATATCTTCGACCCGGTACCGACTTGACCACCTAAAACTGAGCTTGGGCCCCTAAGTCAGGAATTCAGAGACTTCTGTTTCCATCTAGGCAGGGCCTACAGTCTTGATCAGCCTGAAGCAGCTACAGAAGCCAGACCTTTACCCTTCATCTTCCCTTAAGATTAAGGGAATGGAATCTGAGGGGTGAATGAGATAGGAGGTGTTCAGTTTCCCTGGGCTCAGGTTACAGGACACACCTCTGGGTTTCAAGCCATTCCTCCAAGGTCTCAGGCCTCTCCTGGAATCCTCTCAGAGGAAAGTTACTGTTGCTAGTTGGACCTATTTTTGGCACTAACAGACATCAGGGGGCTGATTTATGCAAGTCCAATGGTTGGGCATGCTTAGTAGAAAGGGATTATATAACCATGATAGCCAAGTATGCTCAGTAAAGTGGAGTTTATATTCATTAGATAGCATGAGTATGTATTAAATAGTGAGACTATAAAAGTTGAATCCTGGCAGAAGGTGGGGTTGTTGCTCACGTTCCTGGGGTCAACCTGCATTTCACTGGCTGAGGTACGCTTTCTCTTGTATCAAACTTAACTTTCAGCAAGTGGCTGCTCACTGTGTTGAGCCAGCCTGCACTCTGTACTGAACTTTTAAGTGTATGTTTCTTACTTTTGTGTTAAACTTGGATGGACCCTGCTCAATCTCTGGAGCTATGCCCCACTTTCTCTGAAGTCTGTATCTCTTGTTACATTAAAGCTGTTCTCACTTTCTACTGTGACTCTGCCCTTGAATTCTTTCTCGAAGTGGAGTGAAGAACCTAGTAAGAGGATGCGGTAGGGGTGGGGCGTTGAGTCAGACTACCAGGCCTCCCATCAGTACCTTTTAATTTTTTGGCAGGTGGTCCATTCAGAGATTGAACTCTGGACCTTGGTGTTAGCAGCACCATGCTCTAAACAACTGAGCCAACCTGCTAGACCAGCAGTAGTTCTTAAAATAACCTCCACATTTGGAACACTTCAGCTTAAATGTAACCTCTATTGACAAGCCTTCTTGGACCTTCGTTTTCACCACCATGGTATTTATCACTGCTTGATATTTTGTGGCAGTTTCTATCCAACCAGAGAGGAAAGCTTCAAAAGATCAGGGACTTGGTGCTATTCACTGCTGTTACCCTCCTGCCTAAAACAGTGTCTGGTTCCTAAAAAGCACTGCAGTGTTTGTTGATGAACACATGACCTTATTTGTGAAAATGAAACCATTTTCTATCCCAAAGGAGATATTTATATCCAACCCTTATAGCTAAACCAGTGCTATTTTCTCTGTATAAAAGAGGCAACATTGAAGGAATTTCTGAGGTTATACTTTTGTTAGATAAAACAAGGCCTTGTCCCTTATAATAAGGACATTCTAGGAGCATTCGCATATAAGATGGCCTTCATTATAGCTCCTAACTTACAAACGAGTATCAACACATCATTCTATTCTCTTTTTAATTATACCATGCCTTATTTTTAGGTATCTCATTTAGATTTTTGAAGAAAGAATAAGAAAATGTTTTAGGCAGGATCCTCCAATATATCAAAGGCATAAGAAATGTCTTCAGGGCTGGCCCGGTGGCGCACTGGAAAGTGCGCCGTCTGGGAGCGCAGCGGCGCTCCCACTGAGGGTTCGGATCCCATGTGGAGACTGGTTCCCACTCACTGGCTGAGTGCGGTGCGGGCGCAACGCCGAGGGTTGCGATCCCGTTGCCGGTCCCCGGTGCGGGCACGACACCGAGGGTTGCGATCCCGTTACCGGTCAATAAAAAAAGATAAAAAGGAAAAAAAAAAAGAAATATCTTCAGACTTTCTGGATCAGACATAATTCATACAGCTAATGTCTGATGATTAAATTTCCCATATAGTCCCAAACAAACAGATCAGATCCAGGCAATCCTACAAAGAAAACTGGTGTTAACTGCAAATACAACTCCATTTTACATGTATTTATACAATTTGGTTAGTATCTGGCTTTAACAGATGCTGTATTCTGAGGACAGAGATGAACTCTATATTATTCATGCTTATATCCTGGAATAGTTGTCCCTCAAATATTTTGAATGAATAATCCTGTTTCTCAAATTCTTGACCTCAGAAGTTTAGTGCTCTAAATGATCAAGGCATCCGGGAATAAAGAGGTTTGGCTGACCGTTTACTCAGTAAATGCTAGAGTGTCTAGAACTACTTCCAAAAGCATGTTATCCTCCATGCTCATGGTTTACAAGAAAGAAGTAGGGTGGTGAGACAGAACCTAAACTGGGCTTGAACCAGGGGCTGTGACCTTGTTTCTGCCATCACTTACTCCATCCTGGCCTCCAGCTGCTGAACCAATTGTTTGTCCACATGGTGACAGAACAGGGAAAGTAGGTTGCTGGGGAAGGCTAGAGGTTCTGCCAGAGAGGCTGTAGGCATTTGAGCTATCTCCCAGGCAATCAGAACCACCATGTTTGTCCTGGAGGACATAAATATATGTAAGTAAACATTTATATTATATTTATGCAGGAAACAGTCAGGGCCAATGTTTCTTATCACTGCCCCGTCACTATGCCCAGGTAGCAATTAAGAGGTAACATTTTCACATTTGGTATGTGCCAAGCGATGCTTAGTACTTTATGCATTTTCCTTCCTATTCAAGCTTAAGAACTCTAAGGGGTCAATACCATGATATCTACTTGATAGATGAGGAAACAGACTATGAGGAGTGAAATAACTTGCCCCAAAGTTATATTGCTAGTAACTGACAGAACCAGAATTCAAACTTAGATCTGTCTGACTCTAAAGTTTGTTTCCTTACTATGGTACATTGCCTTCCATGAGAAACCAATACTGTAGGGTACTATGGGGGGGCGGGGAAGAATAGCTACAACCCTCCTATTTTTCCTTTCTCTGCCCAAACTTTTCCCTAATACTTGAATATGCCACTCTGGAAATACTTCATCTGGCTCAGTCTACATATCCCAGGGGTATTGAAGTAGTATTTACAAGGCCTTTATGATCTTACCAAGCTGTATGGTCACTGTTGGGTCCCTCTGAGGAAGAATTCAGGGATACCAGCTGCTCTCCGTGACTCAGCAGGGCATAGAGCAAAGATATTCCGAACTGCAAGAGAGATATATATATAGCTCAAGGCAAAATGAGTTCACCCTAGGCATTCAGTGCTTCCCTGGCTCTGCTATCTTTGCAACTAATGGGTAGGTTCACATTTAGAAATGGAGTCCAAAACCCACAAGAGCAATTAGGTTATATGTTGGCTAGCCCAAGAACTCTGACCCTTCTAAAAGAATCACTGCTCTGGACTTTCCAAAGACTGACTCTTAGAGAGCTGATTAAATGCACAGTCCTAGGCTGTACCCCCAGGAATCAGTCTGAATATCAGGAATGGATCCAGGAATCTGAAGCAGGTAGTTGTGGACCCCACTTTCAGAAGCACTACTTTAAGCAAAGATCTTCAGAGTGGAGTACACAAGATAATCCACTGGGATACTGGAAGACGATATCAGAAGTTTCATATCTAGAGTCATCTTTTGAAACTGTCTTATCTTTATTATGTACCTAATGTTACTACATTATTCCACGTATATGACTTATAAACATACATGGGTGGTATGGTTTGGAATTCTTTACTAAGGGGGAACACAAAAGTTTGGAGACCTCTGCTCTAGAGGCTCACACCAGCGGCAGCAGCAGAGAGCTTGGTAGAAAAGCCGGTGCATAAGCCCCACCCCAGACCTAGTGAATGACTCTTTATGGGTGGGACCAAGGAACTGGAGTTTAATAAGCTCTCCAGGTGATGCTCTGCCCACTAGAAGTTGAGAAGCACTGCAGAGGATAAGCTTTGTGAAGAGATATGAACATTCCCCTTCACTTATTCCTTACCAGTGATACCACTTGGAAACCATCTATGGAGAGAGAAAAGCCTCCTAGAAGAAGTATTACCTGATTCTGAAGCACCACAGTGACTGGCCGCTCTGAGGAGCCAGGTGGTAGCAGTGTTAGTCCCTGAAGTCCTTGGAGGAGCTCATGGAAGGTCAAGTGACTGATACATTTGCTCAGAGGTTTGAATAACATCTGTAGCACCTGTAAGAAGAGCAGTAAGCACCTTTCCCAAAATCCACTACAACTTCACCTCCTCCTGCCTTGCCTCCAACCCCTTCCCTTGATGATGTGCCTTTGGCACCTTCCTGATCATGTTACTGACCAGGCCTGACACCACTCATGACTCCATTGATATTGCTGAGTCCTTTGGTACACACTTGTTCTAGGATATCTTCCTCAAGAAAAGTAGATGTAGAGCTCAATGCTTATCAGGGGGTCCTTATCTTCTCTCAGGCCTCCACAGCACACTCACACCTGTGCAACCATACACCTATTTTTCTTTTGTGCATCGTACTTGAAGATGATCCACTGCTGCTCTAGTAGTTTGTTCTGTAACTTCCTCACCTGAGGGTGGTGGGGCTGGCACCACTCACTGCCCAGCACCTTCTCCGGCATCTCTGGGAGTGGGGAGTGGAGGGGAGGAAAGATCCCTAACCTATCCAGGAGACCATCTTCTTCTCCACCCAATGCCACAGTACCTGGTCAGTCATATCACTCCGGACCAGGAGGGGCAGATGGTGGGTGATAGCCAGAAGAAGGCTAACAGCCTTATCCTGGGGCAGGAAGGGGAGCAGCCGGGCCACCAAGGCTTTCCCCTTCCTCACAAAGAGCACCTGCAGGAAGCCATCTGCTGCCTGCCTACAAAGAAGAGAGCATTTTCAGAGGTCTACACAGAGGAGAGGGCTGCATGCCAGAAAGGAGGGGCTGAAGCAAGTCCAGCGTCTCTGCTGATCCTTCCCTCTTGGGCTGAGGCGGGCCCTCCCAACTCACTCCAGGTCATTCTGTTCCTGGGTTTTTAAGGCCTGGAAAAGCTTCTCAGTCTGGTTGCGCTGCTGCTCAGAGTAGCAGGGCTGTGACGACCCATCCTTCTGACCCTCCTCTACCTCTAGTAACTGAAGGAACATCTGAGAATTTGAGGGTGTGAGAAGAGGAAGAAGAGGTAAGTTTGAGCGATATCCCATTCTCAAAGGTAAGTGAGGAACTCGTCCCCAAGGAACTGCCATCTCACCTTCTCAATCCGGTGTAATACCAGAAGCCTCTGACTACTTGCAGCTCCTGCATCCTAGGAGAAAAAGAGTCTCTAGCTGTCACTATCAGCCACACCACCACAGCAGCAGCCCAGGCCTCAGACTAACTAGAACTTGAGCTGGAAAGGCTCGACACAAAGTCTGATCATGGTTCTTCCTCACACTTAGGTCACAATCTGAACTCCAACATGAGAATGTCATAGACCTTTCTCCCAAGCAGGAGAGAAAAAGGGTTCTGAAAAGATAATGCTCCTACCTGATCTTGAGTTCCATGGGATACAGCGTCAATAGCTCGGCGAGGGCTGAAACACGTCGATACAGCTACCTGGCCCAGAGAACCCTCAATTCGAACCACTATGTGAACAAAGGCGGGAGAGGCATGTTCCCCTCCCCTTTCCACCCTCTGCCCACTCAAAGCCAGCAGATCAGCCCTGGTCCTACCTGACTCATAAGCCTCTGCCTTCTGAATGTAAGGCGTTACCAGCTTGAGAGACTCAACCCTGTTCCTTCGTCCAAGTAGCTCTTCATCTGCCTCCTTCTTCTCTAGTTTCTGATAATATTTCTGAGTCCATGAAAGAGGGGGAGAAAAACCCATCCATACTCATCTTCTGAAATTAGAGTTAAGGTTCTCAAGTGCAACCTCTTAACACAACCCTTTCCTATAGCACTCATTCCAGAAATGATCCTAGCACCATAGGCCCTTCTAGCAGTTATTCTAAAGTATCTTATGCACCCTGGGCCCCATGCCACCTGTCTTGGAATTCCCGTATGATGGAGTTTGGATGTGTTGTCCCCACCAAAACTCATGTTGAAATCTGATCCCCAATGTGGCAGTGCTGGAAGCTGTTTGAGCTGTGGGGTGGATCCATCATGAATGGATTAATGTTCTCCCTGGGTGGGGGGATTGAGTGAGTTCTCACTCTATTTGTTCCCACGAGAGCTGGTTGTTTAAAAAGACCCTGGCACCTCCTCTTTTTCTCTCCCTGCTTCCACCATCTTGCAATGTGAGACCCCTAGGTCACTGTCACCACCACCAGATGGACTTTGGACTTCACAGCCCCAGAAACTGTAAGCAATAAATGTCGTTTTTCTTTTTAATCACCCAGTTCCAGGTATTTTGTTATAAGCAACACAAAATAGGCTAATACAGAAAATTGGTACCAAGGAGTAGGGGGTGTTGCTATACAGATACCTGAAAATGTGGATGCAGCTTTGGAACTGGGTAATGGGCAAAGGTTGGAGGAGTTTGGAGGACTTAGAAAAAGACAAAAAGATGAGAGAATGTTTGGAACATTTTAGAGATTCGTTAAATGGTTGTGACCAGAATGCTGACAGAAATGTGGACAGTAAAGACCATGCAGATGATGACGTCTCAGAGAGCAATGAGGAACTTATCAGGAATTGGGCAAAAAATAACTCTTGCTACACCATAGCAAGGAATTTGGCCGCATTGTGTCCATGCCCTTGGACTTTGTGGAAGATGGGAATTAAGAGTTGTGAACCTGAATGTGTGGTGGAAGAAATTTCTAAGCAGCAAAGCATTAAGGAAGCTGCATGGTTACTTTCAACTGCCTACTCTGAGTTATGGTAGCAAAAGCATGAGGTAAAGCCAGAATTTAAAAGGGAAGCAGAACGTAAAGATTTGGAAAATTTGCAGCCAGGCCATGAGGTAGAGAAGCGGAGAGCTGGAGAAAAATGCAAGGGTGGGGCCGGCCCGGTGGCGCACTGCTACAGTGCGCTGCTTGGGAAGTGGGGCGGCGCTCCCGCCGAGGGTTCGGATCCCACATACAGACCGGCCGCTCACTGGCTGAGCGAGGGGCGGACGCAACACCGAGGGGTGTGATCCCGTAGCTGGTCCCGGTCCGGTACGGGCGCGACACTGAGGGTTGCGATCCGTTGCCGGTCACGAAAAAAGACAAAAAAAAGAGAAAAAAAAAAGAAAAAGAAGAAAAAAAAAAAGAAAAATGCAAGGGTGCAGCAGATAAACTGGTTGCTAAGGACATTATCTTGGTGGTGAGGCAGCCAGATGCTAATAACCAGGACAGTGAGAGGAAAGCCCTAAGGGCATTTGAGAAGTCTGGAAGGGTGCCCCACCCATCACAGGCCTTGAGGCCTAGAATGACTGAGTTATCCCAGAGGACAGACCTGGGGCACAGCTGCCCCTGAGAACCTGCTCCCTGCATCCCAGCTGCTCCGGCTGGAACGGCCCCAAGTATGGTTCGTGCAGCAGCCCTGAAGAATAGAGGCCTGAAACCTCGGTGGCATCCACGTTGTGTTAAGTCTGCAGGCCAGCAGGACATGAGAGCAGTGGAGGCAGGGCATCCTCCACCCAGATTTCAGAGGATGTATGGAAAAGCCTGGGGACCCAGGCAGAGACCTGCTACAGGGGTGGAGCCACTGCAGAGGCCATCTACTAGAGCAATGCTGAGCAGCAAAATGGGGTCAGAGCCCCCACAGAGAACCCTCACCAGGGAAATGTCTTGTAGAGCCAATGCAGTGCGGCTGTCACCAGGACCCCAGAACTGCAGGGCTACTGGTAACATGCAACACAGGCCTGGAAAAGCCACAGGCACCAGCGTGGCCCACTGGGCTGTGCCTGGCAGAGCTGTTGGAGTGAGGCTGCCTGATGCTTTGGGGGCCCAGATGGCCAGTTGTGCCCAGGATGCAGGACTTGGAGTTAAAAAAAGATTATTTTGGAGTTTTAAGACATAATGTCTGCCCTGCTGGGTTTTGGACTTGTTTGGGGCCTGTTTTTCCTTTCTTCTGGCCTATTCCTCCCTTTTGGAATGGGAATGTGTACCCAATGTCTGTTCCACCATTGTATCTTGGCAGTAGATAATTTTTGGTTTTGATTTTCAGGTTCACATCTGGAAGGAGTTTTGCCTTTGGTTTCCAATGAGACTTTGGACTTTTAAGTTGGTGCTGGAACAAGCTAAGACATTTGGGACTGTTGGGATGGAATGATTATATTTTCTATGTGAGAGTGACATAAGTTTTGGGGGGCCAGGGGCAGAATGATGGAGTTTGGATGTGTTGTCCCCGCCTAAACTCATGTTGAAATCTGATCTCCAGTGGCAGTGCTGGAAGCTGTTTGAGCCATGGGGGCGGATCCCTCATGAATGGATTAATGCTGTCCTTGGATGGGGGGATTAATGAGTGAGTTCTCGCTCTGTTTGTTCCCGTGAGAGTTGGTTGCTTAAAAATACCCTGGCACCTCCTCTTTCTCTCACTCTCTTGCTTCCTCTCGCCATGTGATCTGCTTGTAGCCGCCCCTCCATGAGTAGAAGCAGCCTGAGGCCCATGCCAGATGCAGCTCTCCCAGAATCGTAAGCCAAATAAACCTCTTTTCCTTATAAATTACCCAGTCTGTCATAGCAACACAAAACGGACTAATACACCATACCAAGTACTTGAAAAACTAGGTACCACCAGCAAATATGACAAGGCAGAGAGCAAAGGAGAGCCAGGAAGCAAGCCTGTTCCAGCATCTGCAACCTTCCTACATTCCTCATTCCCAAGTACAAACACATATGCACATCACCTATCCTCCTCCCTCCCCCCATTTTAATCTTGTGATCCCACCTGTGCTTTTTAAAATTAGTGTTGCCTGATGGTGTGAAGAGCATCAGCAGCTTTAAGTAGACAATTAGCACTAAGTATTTGTCAATCGGCCTCAAGGCCAGTTTTATACTTGTCTGGCTTTGCTCAGCAGCCCTAACATCTTCTTAAAGCATGTTGAGAAATCCTGTACTAAAATAAACCTTCTGGCTATGTACCAAACAAGGAATTGAATAAGTCCTTGGTTTAGGAGCAATGCCAAAAAGGTAAGAGTACAAAAATACTTCACTTTCAGTGATCCTGGCAGAAAGGAGGGCTTTTGAAGCTGGGTGGAAAGAAAGGAAGAAACTAACATAAATGAGAAGGGGATAAAGATGTGGGACTCATGGATGTTGAGGAGAAAGTGAAAAACAGCCTAGACACCTCAAAAACGTGTGGACAAAGACTTGTCCAATGAGGAGAGAATGTAGGAAGCAGGGAAGACAAGTCACAAGGCCACCAGCATTTGTTCAATTCAACAAGTTGAATCCCACTATAAGATCCCTATGTAAGTAGGTGAATATAACAAGACATTTCTAAGGCACATGGAAGTGTACAAAGGTGGGAAAGTATAATTCCAGGGCAGGTAAGGAAAATTCTCAAAGAATGGAGACAAACCTGAGTGTATTTGGGCAATGTAAATAATCCCCTTTGGCTGAAATGGAGGATAGACAGGAATGAGCTTGGGATGTCAACTTCAGAAATATGACCCTGATCCTGCACTGATTCTCTCCCACCAGAATGGACGTGGCCTCTATGAGCTGAAGAGAGGATCAGAGAGGGCCTGTGGAGTCCAGGCCTATCTAATCCTAAGGTCACACACTGGGACGAGTGCCCCGGGGCTCACCTGGTAGTAATAGTCATCCAGGCGAGGGTTCTCACTCTGCAGCTGAACCATCTGCACTTTTATCACCCAGTCCTTCTCTTTTTGGGTCATGAGGTTAGCATAGGGGTCTGGCTGCTGAGACCAAGGCTTCTTAGCTGAGGAACTTCAAGCCAGGAGGAACACCCTTTAGACCTACACACCCCTGCCACAGTGAACTTCCCAAGGCGTGTTGAGCAGGGAGTGGAGCTCTCTGGGAAGGATGGGAGACGGTGCAGATGTGGGCAATGGTATGAGAGTCTTAACTGTGCAGGGGCTTTGGGGAAAATGCCTGGCCATGAGGGAGTACCTTGCATGCAGAAGGACGCCCCTCAACTCTGTTCCTCATCTAGGCATTACCTTGGTGTTCGACTATGCTGCCGCTGCTTCTGCTGCAGCTGCAAGATCCGTTGGTGCTGAGGGTGCAGCTGGGTCAGATGACTGGGAAGATTTAAAAAGAAACTTGGGCTGGGTGGAAGGAAGCGCTCAGCTCCCCACCCCCTCCATTTGTTCAGCCCCAGATAAGCTCAGGCGAACATCTAAGGGAACCCTGTTTATGTGTCTCTCCAAAATCAGTCACAAGAAATATCACAGTCCTAGCCCAGCAGGGCTCACGTTCCCATTCAACATACATTTTCCTACAGTTTGACTGTAGGAAGTCTTGGCACAGTAGAAAATCTGTTAGCCTCGTGGTCAGGAGTTCTGACTCCTAGTCTCAGTTCGGTCATGCTAGCTGACCTCAAATTTTTAATCACCCTGGGGCTCCATCATTTCCTTGTCCCTGACGGAGAAGGGATTGAACTATACCTTAGACTTCTATTAGTAAGTTTCCATAAGTATTTTTCTGTGGCAACTGATGGAGTGGCCCCCACCCCTCCTCAGCCAGCACCTCCTCAGCATCCTGACACTGAGTCCCCAGCACCCTGAACTGGTAACCTGAACCCAGGGGGCCATGAGGTCGGCAGACTGCAGGAGAGAGATGGGTCTGGCGAGGACAGTTGAGATCCAAAGTGTTGTACTGGAGAGCTGGCGCTGGGAAGCGTAGACCAGAAAGGGATTGGCGACAGGTAGTCCAGGGTCTGAGAAAGGAATTAAGAGATCTGAGAGAAGGCCATCTCCACCAAAAGAATGCTGTGCTTGCTGCTAAGGCTCAGTTTCTTTCCTGCCTCTATATTCTCACCTGCCTTTTCCCTCATGAACTTCGCCCAACATTTTGCTATCTTGGGGGTCTCTTGAGCCAGCTATGAGGGCACCAGAGTAATTACTGCCTTGTTTCAACAGGGTTTGTCACCTCCTAGGAAGCAGCTTCCCTGACTTTGTGGGGCTGGTGCTTTTGCAATGCCTCTTGCTCTCTTCTCTGACAGTCTTCTCTCAGGCTTTTATGTCTTCAACCACTGGAGAAGAACTCATCTGTCTCTTTTCTACTCACCCAAAGCCCTCCTCAGAGCTATAATTCCCTTCTAGTTCTTCCTGAAGAATTTTGTGCTCCTCAAACTGCTCTACTCCAGGCCACGTGCCCATTACACAGTTAATTGAAGGGCAAGAACTCTTTCCAGCCCTAAGCTCAGAGCTGCTCATCTTTGTAAGGGAGGAATAGGGATCTGGTTGTCTTTTTTCATATGAATGGCCCAGTTGTCCCAGTACCACTTATTAAGGTATCTGTCCATACCCCTGACTGGGCACACCACCTCTGCCATTTATCATGCTCCCCTATGATAAGGCAGCTCCCTCATACCCTCACTTTAGGTGTTTTATCTCCAGAGCAGGGCCAAGAGTAGATTGGACATAATGGGTGGAATCCATCTTAGCAACTGGTCACCTCACAGGATGGAGACTGGAGCGGACTCACCTGCCACAGGAAGTGCAAGGGAGCGGGTGGCATCCCTGAGACACCAGGGGTCTTGACTCCAGGGGAGCTTGGCAGACCTGTCTGGAACAGGAGACAGAAAACCCCAGGCTCAAATGGGCCCCTATGGTGTCTTCCACATTCACCTGTGTCCATGGGGAAAAGGGATGGGGCAGCGAGACCAGCCATTTCAACACCAGGACAGTAGCAGCCCGGCCTTCTCTGATATTCAAAGTCAATTGGGCCAAGATCCCTCTCCTTCCCAAGAGGAAGCAAGACTAGTATCTTAGGAGGAGGTTGAAGGAGGGTCTGAGTCACCTCATTTTTACATGGGAGTCCTTGTCTCTCTCTTTCTCTACTCCTTGTGGGAATCCAAGGGAATATCAGGAATGAACTGCTGAGACACAGGGGCCCAGGATCAGAACTCACCTTCAGCATCAGTAGCAGGGCCATCACCTGTAGGTGATGCACAGCCCTACTAGGACCTGGTTTTAAGGTGAAGACAGCATCAGAAACTAAGTGGGAGATAGGAGCAAAGAGGGAAGGTGAGTCCCTACTTTGAATGAAAACCTGAAATAGAAAGTGTTAGTACAGATAGATCCTATCTTACAAAGGGGTGAAGAAAAGGAGTAAGATGTTTAGTGATAGTCCATGAGCTACGGACAGTTCAGGACCACCCTCTCCCATTCCCTTCTGCCATGGTACCTGGGTGTTATGGACAGTGCTGAATACAGCTGGATCCCCAAGATCATTCTCTTCCTCCTCTGGGTCTGGGGCCAGATCTGAATCTGTGTCCAGATCCTCATCCTCCTCCTTCTCCTCTGCGTCTTCATTCTCTTTCTCCAATTGGGAAGCAGACACCAGGTCTTCTGCAGGAGCTGAGAGGCCACATGACTTGCCTGGCCCTTGGTTTAAGTGTGGGCCTGAGGAGGATGTAAGATGGGGGCTCAGGTGTGAGGAGTCTCATCCAGAGAGGCTGCTTCTCAGAAGCACTTCTATTCACAAGCCATCCAGCACAACCTTCTAGCACTTCCTGTTCTATGGGTGTGACTCAGCCTCCCCACCCCAGGGTGCCCCAAACCATCTGCCACTAAAGCAGAGCCTGGCAGGTGCCCAAAACCTTCGCTTTCCACATCCCTTTTCAGTTTCCTCTCTAGGTATCAGCACAGACTTCTCCACCTACTCAACCCCATCCAACAGCCCTTTCTGTTGCCTCTTTAATTGAACAAGTTCCAGCTGCCCTGACTCACTGCAATTTAACCCTACTGTGTGCCAGATACTTTACATGTATATATTCATGTAACAGTCATACGAAGCTGTCAAGGCTGTTGATAATTTTACCATATAGGGTAGGAAAATAAGGCCCAGAAAAGTGATCTCAGTCACCCAGTGTGATGTAGCTGGCAAGTGAAAGAGTTTGGAATCATTTCCAGTGATTCTGTCCACCTGAGCCCATGTCTGAAGCAGACCAAGAAGCCTCCCACCCCTGAGCTTTTTATCTAGACACTGCAGTCCACTTGGTGATACCTTCAAGGCATTTCATCGTGGCAGGCTGGTGGACTTCCTCCATGGCTGTGTCCTCCTGTGAGAGGGCACTGTCAGCCTCAGGAAGAGGCTGGGGTAGGGAAGAGACCCAGAGACACCCTCCTCCTCAGTAAGGATGGATGGCACCCTAAAACAGCCATGCTCTCCTCCCAGAAAGGTGGTCAGAGAGTTATTAACCCAAAGTCTCAAGGAATGAGACCTTGGGTTCTCAGACTGTTATAACCCCCCACCCTCCCACCTCACCAGCCAGCTCTAGGGAGCTGCTCTGCAAAGGAAATAAGAGACAGGGCTAGGAGTTGGAAGAAAAGCACTTCCTACATGGATACTACCAGCCACCATCTGCACATGGTGACGCATTGTTGCTGACACCCACCGCCTGACTGGTGCTGTCCTTCCTGCTTAGGTTAGCCATGGCAGCCTAAGCTAGGGCCCACTTGCTGCTCCTGGCTTTAAGAGTCCCAGCTCCTCCCCTGCTTACCTGTTAAAGGGCCAGCACCACCAACCACTGGATCTTGGTAGAAGTATGAGAACATAAACTAATGATAAAGAAAAGCCTTGAAGGAAGAAGAGAAATAAGCTGCCTTTTAAAGCATCTGAGGTTGTGAGTACAGTTTATAGGGACTGATATTGGGGGAAGATATTTTAAAAGAGGATCGCTGTTTTCCATATCCTTTATAGGAACTTTGTGAGGTTGCATTCCACTTAATCCCTAGGTTTTGCTCCAACAAAATTTGATAGGAAGGCCCTGGGTGGATCCTGAGGAGGTTGCCTAGCAACCAAGTTCTCAGAGCTTCAGAGAAGTGCAATTGGGGCTCCTGCAAGTCCACCTGGTGATGCTTGCCTTTCACTGGATTGCATGAGCTTAAGTCTGCTACCCTGCTCTAATTGATGAGGGACCCCTGTGAGTTTAGAAGTCAGATCTTCAAAGTAAAAACACTTTTCGTGTGAAATACGCAATCTTATATCTTCTTGGCTGCTCAAATGGAAAACTGGTCCAGAAACTCAGTCAGGAGTAGAAAACAAATCAATGATAACAAAAGCAAATCCATCACTATTGCTGAAAGTCAAAACCTAAGACCCACCTGATCCTCATCTAACCCCCAAGCAATCCTGGGTCCTGTGCCCACATCCTGTGTTCAGCTGAAACCTGCATGATATTGTAGAACTTCTGAATACAAATGAAAACTAATCTAATTCTTTATATCAAAAATGCAAGTTAGGGGGCCGGCCCGGTGGCGCACTGGATAGTGCGCCGCTTGGGAAGCATGGCGGCGCTCCCGCCCGAGGGTTCGGATCCCACATACAGACAGGTTCCCGCTCACTGGCTGAGCGAGGCGCGGGAGCAACACCGAGGTTTGTGATCCGTTGCCAGACACTGAAAAAAGAAAAAAAGACAAAAAAAAAAAAAAAAAAAAAAAAAAAAAAATGCAAGTTAGGGCCCCATTGTCATGGTTATAAGACCATGATTCTTTGTGCCTTTAAAGGAAAATATTTGTTTCAAAAGTTTTGCTGTAGGCCAGAACTATATGGGCTGGGAAACAAATTTAAGTAGCTTGAAAGTTACTGAAAAACTTTTAGATGTCTGAATTGGGTTCAGGCCTTTTTGGTATTGTTATTCAGCTGTCTCTCTCAAGAACTTCATAATAACTTACTTTGGCATTATTAATGAAAGGGCCAAATGGTGAATTTCGGTGTCCCAAAAGTGATTCATTAGATTGTTACAGAGACCGGGTCTTAGGGAGAAACATTTGCTGCATGAAGATTTTCATTCTGAAGGGACTTTCTTTATCCACTAGTAACAAAGCAGGTGGATTAGGGCTCAATCTTTAGGATCACAGCTCTGCTGTGACTGTTCGAAGTTTTACTTGGGACCCAGTAGCTTTTGTGCAAGTCCCTTACCCTTTCCCGAAGTCTCATATATCTACTTATCCCCTAGATTTTCTATCTCTCCTGCCGTAGTTTAAGCCAAAACTGTGCTAGGCTTGAGATACAACAGTTAATAAAACAGGTGCTTCCCACTGTCTCTTAGAGCTTCCTATAGAATAAGAAGTACAGACAAGTAAATGGGATTTTTTGATCAGATAAAAAATACATTAGAAATGTCTACATTGTTGTTTAAAACACCTCAGAACTGTCCCACTTTTATGGGGAGTTTTAAAATCCATTATTTATTTAATGGCTATAGATCTATTATGGTTTTCAGTTTCTTCTAGGAATTTTTATATTTCTTGTAACTTTTCAAATTTTTTGGCATAAAGTTGTCCATAGTACAAGAATATTTTTTTAAATCCATGCTATATTTATACTTTGTCCCCCTTCTTATTTCTCTTTTCTTTGTAGCCACCAACAATTTTACCTTTTTATTGTTATCATTATTTATTGTCTCCTCTTTCTATTGTCTTCTTTCTAGATCTTGTCTATTTTCTTAGTCTTTTCAAAGATCCATACATAAGTCAGGGTTTCTTTAGGAAGCAGATAGTACACTCATTCTGGATAACTTCAGTAAAATTTAATAAAGGGATATCTATAAAGGTATAGAAAGAATATAGTGAAATCACGAGGAATAACAGAGTACCCTAGGATTGGTAATGGTTTCATGTGACCACTTTAGAGCAAGGGCAAGAGGATGAAGCTGCCAGCAGAACCTGGAGACAGAGAAGGCTTCCTGGCTTCAGATAAGGTTAACATCTGTGTCATGCAGCCCTCTCCTGAACTATATCCATTCTCTCTGGGGTCTGGGATCTGCTGCCTTCTCCTTGAGGTCTGGGGATGGAAATGGCTCTCCATTCTTGCTAGCTCCAGGGTACTTCACCATCCTTTATGAGTTTCTCTTAACCCTACTCAAACCCTGGTAAATATTCCCCTCAGGAAACTCTCCTCAGTGTCCCCACTCCAGTGTCTTGTTTGTTGCCTGTCAGGGCCATGACTGACACCAGCTCCAACGCCAGCCTGCTGAGCCCTTCTTTTCTTTGTCCTTGTTCCGCTTCTCCCATCCATCCCTCCTCAGTGATTCTAAAACATAGCCATCGTCCTCAAGTCCTCTACACAACTCCCCTCTCTTTATGCTCAGCAGTCAACCTCATCTCTTATGTTATGGAGAAAAGAGAGGCCACTGGGCTGATCCACTTAGATTTTTACTTGGAGGAAGTTTATACACAGCCACAGGCCTCCTCAGCTTGCTTTTCCAAGTTAGGTTACCTTCCTCCTCTTCACGTCCAGCCTCTCTTCCTGGATCCTTTGCCCTTTGGCTTCTTCTCCCCTCTGTGTCTTTAGTCTCTCCACTTGTCCTTCTTCCTTTGTCTTATGGTACAGCATAGAAATATCAGAATGTGTCCACTTCTTAGAAACAAAATCCTTTTCATGTTATTGTTTCTTATTTTAACCGCCCCTCATCTCTCTCCTACCCCACAAATGAAACTTCATTTTCTCAACTCTCATCATTCCATCAACTGTTGCTTTCTGGCTTTTGACACCATCATTGGCACTGGAGGACAGATGGAAATAATATCCATAAGCCCCCTCCACACTTTCTCTGCACAATTGACAATTTTCCAATGTCACGTTAGTGCTCTGCAAACACATTATCAAGACAAGTCTCCTACTCTCTCTTCTACCTAGATGCCACCCCTAAATACTTCTCATGTTAAAAATATATATTTCTGGAGCTGCCATTACCCATTACTCCTCAGAAACTATTCTCACAACCGTTAGCAGTGATTTCTTAACTGTAAGTGCAAAAGACATGTTCAATCCTGGCCTTAGCTGAAGTCGCTATGGCATGCGATGCTGCTGAGCATGTCCTCCTTGGATCTCCGTTTTCCCACAGCTTCCTGACACTTCAGTCTCCTGGTTCTTGTACCTCTTGGGTCATCTTTCTTTGGCCTCTTTCCTGCTCCCCTTGTCCTCTTCCCATCCCTCCATATCAAAGATTCTTAATCTGAGGGTCCCCTGAAATTGTATATATGTGTGATTTTTTTTTTCCTTTTTGTCTTTTTTACGGACCGGTAATGGGATCGCAACCCTTGGTGTTGCGCCCGCACCGCGCTCAGCCAGTGAGCGGGAACCGGTCTCCACATGGGATCCGAACCCTCGGCGGGAGCGCCGCCGCACTCCCAAGCAGCGCACTCTCCAGTGCGCCACCGGGCCGGCCCTATATGTGTGATTTTTTTTTTTTTAAAAGATGACCGGTAAGGGGATCTTAACCCTTGACTTGGTGTTGTCAGCACCACGCTCAGCCCGTGAGCAAACCCGCCATCCCTGTGTGGGATCCGAACCCGGGGCCTTGGTGTTATCAGCACCACACTCTACCGAGTGAGCCACAGGCCGGCCCTATGTGTGATTTTTAACATGTGTATTTTTCTAGAGAGACAGTCCGTAGCTTTTGTCATATTCCCAAAGGGGTCAAGTATCCCTAAAAGGTTAAATCCTCCACAACCTGGTATCCCTGGGTGATCTCATCCACTCTCATTTTCCTACCACCTACATGTTGATGATTTACAAGTTTTTTTGTTAGATCAAACACCTTGCAACTTAAAGCACTTCAGCGGTTTCTCATCTCCTATCCTTTACATAAGGTATAAGGCCCTTTAAGACCTGACCCTGACTTCTCCAGCCTCCTGTCTTAAAGTTCTCTGCCTACTAGTTTGGGTTTCAGAAATAGTGAACTGCTTTTAGCTGTGTAGGGTGATTGGGATTCCACTAGAGCCCTCTCTCATAATCGCTCTGTGCCAGAATGTCCCTACGTGCCCCGGGGACCACTCACTCTTGGTCTAGGAATTATATTCAATTATTAAGGCAGCTTCCTGTCCCAGTTCTTTCTTTCTTTTCAATGACATTGAAAGAGTGTATCTTAGCAGGTAATATGCTGTTCATTGTGCTACACAAACAAAGTTATGAGGGGAGAATTATTTTAATTAGAAGGTGATTTCAGATGCTTTATTGGATTGTCTTATTGTAATATTCTAATTATTCAAGTGAAAAAGAACAAACTTAGCTCAG